ACACACAGACAACCATTAGGAAAAACAAAGCACAAGGTCAAAGTGAAACCTGGAATGCTTAAATACATGTGATCACTTAAAACATACTACTGAGTTATTCACTTAGCAATATTCAAGAGTTACTTTTTATTTATATATTGTTTGTTGGTTAGTTTTTCGAGATAGGGTTTTGCTATGTTGCCCAGGCTGGTATAAAACTCACAATCCTTCTACCTCAGCCTCCCAAGTAGATGGGATTTCAGTTGTGAACCACCCAACAGAGCTAGAACTACTTTTTAAACTTTTATATTAGCACCAAGAATACAAAAAAGAACCAAATTCAAACATTTTAATATTATAAGTTTGCATTGCATATTGTCAAATTTTTCTCTTGCTAATATTCATGATTTCTCAGCAATTATTTCTGGGGCACTGATCCAATGCTAGACGTTGTCGGAGGTACTGAGAATTCATGGCAGTGGGCCAACAGACAAACTTCCTCACCACCGTTGAACTTACCTTATAATTGGGGCAGAAAATCAATACTACAAATAAAAAAATGCCATGTAAGATCACACTAATCACTAGAGAGAAAGAGGTAGAAGGAGTCTTGGAAAGAGGAAGATGATGATTCAATACTACAAAGTTTGGAAATGGAAGTTCTTGATGAGGAACTATTTACATAGTAACCTAACAAAGTGAGCCATTGGGAAGGAATAGTTCCTGAAAGATGGATGGGCAGTTAGGGTGTTGACTGTGGTGAGATCAAGTAAATCCTTCCAGGTCTTGGTAAGGAATGTGACTTTTCCAGGTTTAATGGGAAGACACTGAGGCCTTTTCAGACCAAGAAGGATACAATGTGACACATGAGTACACTCTGCCTACAGTAAGGGAAGGCTAGAAGCAAGAGACTGCAGTTAGGGGCTGTCCCCAAAACCTACGTGAGAAATGCTAGTGGTTTGGACCAGGATCCAGGAGAAGACAAGGAAAAGTGGTGGTCAGGTTTTGCACCTAATGTGTGATTAAAGCCAGCAGCATCTGCTTTGGAATTTAATGTGGGGAGATAGCATTAGAGACAGAGAAATCAAAAAAGGTCCGAGATGTAAAGACAAGTCCTTATGTCTTTCACAAATTGACAAAATATGATCTTCAATGAAAATGAAAATATGTCCAAATATAAGTGTTATGTTTCTCTTCTCAACAGATCTGGACGTTGCCTACAAACTGTCTTTTTCTTTTCTTTTTCTAAATGTTGTATGTAGTTGATTCTTAATTACATGATAATATGATTCTTAACTTGTCATTCTCCTGTTAAAATCAAGATCGTATTTTTCATAGGCAGCTTCTCTACATTTCTGCCCATTTGAGAAAAATCCTCCTTTCAAGCTCAACAGCACCTGAAGGGTTCACTCTGCCTGGCCACTGCTATATTAAAGTTGCAGCTCACTTTTTAACTCATTCTGAATGTGGTCTGTGTGTCACCAAGGAAGACCATTGAGTTCGCCACATTAACCCTGTTCTCAGGCCTGGGAAGACCAAGAGAGAGCAGCTCGGCACTGAGCTGTTTCACATGTTGGGGGGTTGGGGACAGCAGAGCAGGGTGACAAGAGAAACAGAACAAAGGATGTGGGCAAGGCACAAGAAACTCCTCCTGGATAAAGCACACCCAGGCTCTTCGAGTTGATAAAAAGATACATTATACAGCTATACAGGCTGAGTTATCCTTATCCCATGTGCTGGGCCCAGAAGTGTTTCAGATTTCAGAATTTTTTGGATGTGAAGATATTTTCATAGACTTTACCTGTTGAGCATTCCTAATCTGAAAATCCAAAATCTGAAAATATTTGAGCAGCTTCGATTTTGGATTTTTAGAATAGGGATGCTCAACCAGTCATACAAAGTAAACGCCTCAGAGTAGGATAGTATATCTTTTTACCCTTTTGTTGTTGTTGAAGTATAATATTTATATAAAACAAAAGGGGAAGCCATCATACTATATCCCATAATTACATACAATTATTATGTGTCAATAAAAATTTCAAAGTACACAAAACTAGCGTTCTCCTCAATATTCAAGAATTTAATTTGTAAAACCAGCACTCACAACAAGAAACTGTTAGCAGCAGAACTCACTCTTCATGCCCTCTTCCAATTATTAACTATTGTCATGGTAATCACTGACCTGATTTGTAACACCATAGTTCTGCTTATTTTTGAAGTTCATATAAATAAAACCAGACATTATATATTTATTTCCGTTTGCCTTCTTTAAGTTGTGTTTGTGAAATGAGTACACATTGTTCCACTAACATCTTAGTTCACACGTTCTCATTCCCAATCAGTATTCTACTTACTGTTTTTCCATTCTCTGATAGACATTTAAGTAGTTTACAGTATGGGGTTATAAGAAACTGTGTGCCTGTGAAAGTTCTGTACTACTCTTTTGAACATTTATGCATGTATTCACGTATATGTATATACACATATCCTTAATGTGAGAGTTTAATCTCAAAATAATCTGGGCACAGTGATGCGTGCATATAAACCCAGTTACTTGGGAAGTGGAGGTAGGAGGATCACTGTTCAAGACCAGTCTGGGCAAATCATGAGACCCTATCTAAAAAAACAAACTAAAAGCAAAAGGACGGGAGACTCAAGAGATAGAGCCCTCAGCTCGCAAACGTGAGACCCAAGTCCAACCTCCAACACCACAAAGAAGAAAAGAAAAGGATACTCAACCTATATATGCTTCAGTTTATTACAGTACTTAATTTCCCGCAGTAATATGTTGTGATTTTTTTCTACGTGAAGTTCTGACACATCAATCACTAAAATTTCCACTAGATATTCCTGATCTCCAGGTGAAAGCCCTCACATTTTTCACTAGAAATATAATTTTTGCTGCCCACATGTTGTGGTTACTCTTCATCAGAATAAAAGAACTCACCCATTTCTGAACTGCCAACACATTTTGGGTATGAATGGATATTAAATTTTAACCAGTGCTTTTATGCACTACCAAGATAATCATCGAATTGTTTTTTCTTATCTTCTATTCAACTGCTTATGAAAGTTTGTGAGCGCTATACATACATATACATTTTTAATATGTTTAGCTATAGGGCCCTCTTCTTTCAAATCATGTCTTAATCCTAGGGGGAAAAAAGCTAAGTACCACATTTTTTCCCTTTTGATAAACGAAAGGAAAATAGAAGATATACCATTATCAGCAATGAAGAGAGTCCCACATAGACCCAAAGTAATCAAGAAATGACAAGCTGGCTTTCACTGTCACAACTGGAGGGTTATCGGCTAGAAGAATAACATGATGAACCACAAACTCTAAGATAATGGTGCTAACAAGTCAGGGGTTTGATGCATGGGCTTCTCACTCAGTAGAGAGCTCCCATCTCCTCTTTCATATCTCCCACTTCACTAGAGGCCTAAGGGCACTGGATCTACATTTCAGGATCCTACAAGAATGCAACCAGTACATTTAATAAAAGAGGTAAAACCAACTTGATATAAATAATTCCCCCTTCTTTCTTCCTCTATCTCTTCTTTGCTTTCATGATTACTAATTTCCAGGTGGTACTATATTTGTGTTTTTTTATGAGCTGCTATAAATTCATTTTGAAGGTTCAAGGTACAAAAAATATTTAAAGTTCAAAGAGTGATTTCCCTGGCTATATATCAGAACACCCCACCATCCTATGACAAAACACTACATCCCCATTCAGAAGCACCATCCCTATGAAAAATACAAACCCAATGGGCAATACACATTGCAAACAAGAAGCCAGCTCCAGTTTAGCTATAATTTGGAACATTTGGCTGCTTGAGAGATAACTTAATGTCTAACTTGATTTGAAAATGCCTGAAAAATTATTTTCATGATGTTATGAATAATTCAATCTGAAATACTTCTCTTACTTATGGCAACTACAAATATAAGGGCTTCAGATAGTGTTGAAAACATATGAGACTATGTTAAGTGTTTTTGATGATATCAAGTGAGTCTACAAATCATTTATTATAATGTCTTAAATCTTCTGCTAAATTACAGAACAATCTTTACCTAAGAAAACCCTACTCTAAGCTTTTATAGCAGTAGTAGCTATAGATTGTTTTCATGTAACTACCCTAAGAAATAGCCTGTCAGAGCTTTAAGAATGCCAATGTTCTAAAATATAGTAAATATAAAATATTCTAAGTCTTAGAACTTATTTACTACAGCTATATTTATTTATTTACTAAAGTTACAGACTTTAGTAGATGATATCGTTACAAAAGAGCTCAACCTTCATTTTGTACCAGTATGAGGACTGAGGTTCCTTTTATCATCTAGACATCAATATGACAGATTATCAGTTATAGACAAGTACATGAGAACTAAACTACGTTCTTGAAAAGACTATGTGAGCCTATTAATAAGAAGATCAATCCAATTAAGTCAACTCAAGAGGATACTTAGATAGAAACTAAATCAGAGCACCCAAAATTCCACAATTTAACACTCAAACTTCATCCACAGTTTTAAGGCGGTATAAAAGTTATTTCAAGAAAATAATTCATACCACCTATTTTGGAGAAAAGATGCATGAAAGTTCCGCTAAATCATTTACCTGACAAAATGAAACCTGGCCTACTGAAGCATAACCAATAAGAAGCTAGAAATACAGTGACTTCAACATTCCTGATATGCTTTCTTATTTATACTGGTCTATTATTCATGGAACGCAAACAAGCTGGCTGCAAAAAAACACAATTTTGTAATATTTTAATCAGAGAAAACTATGGGAGGAAAAAGGAACTCTAAAATGATTTGGTTCCTTGGGCATTAAGCTGATTGTACAGCATCCACTCCTTTCATACTGCAAGTTTGACAGTTTTAAGTAACTTGAAAATATTCATGCAGCTCATAATTTGGAAACAATTCTTTACAAATATCCAACAAATCTAACCAAAAGCCTTAAGGAAATGACATTCTATCATATATATATATATATATATATATATACCTTGCAAACTGTATCCACATCCCAAGGTATTATGGTCCTCAGATCAATGACTTCACAAGATACTCCAAGCTTTTCTTGTGCCATGGAAGCTACCTCCCGGATCACATGAACCTGAAAAGAGAACAATATGCAGAGAATGACTAAAGATTCAGGCCTGAAAAACTAGATGAATGCTGACCTCATTCATAATGATACTGTTTGCAGTCGGAGGAACTCAACTGCATGGAGAAATCATACATTTGCTTTAGGCACATTGAACCCCATATTTCACCAAAATAGCCAAGTATAAATGGCTAAAAACAGCTGAAAAGAGATTCTATGAAAAAGAGAGAAACTAGTACTATACATACTGATTCCAAAGACAGCACATGAAAGGTCAATATAGGCATGGGCATAGGTAACATTTCTAAGGAAAGCAAACAGAGAGAAAAATAAGGATGAAAAATCATAGAACCCCATAGATACCAACGTTAAAGTGGAATATGGCTGAGCAGGAGCTCACTAAAGCTAAACAAACAAAATAGTTAAAGAGATGGGGAAAAAAATAAAAACAAAACAAGAATCAGTGTATCCTAGAAGCTAATTACAAAATGGCTTTATAGAGATGGTGGTGAGCATCCATACCAAAGTGATGGCTTGATAATTATGAGATTCAAAGATTACTCAAATTAATTAGTGGTAACATACTCATAAGGCACAAGAACATAAGGAAATTAAGGAGTTAATATAGACATTTGAGAATAGTTATGCAAGTCTGGTATAAAAGAAAGAAGGGAGATATGATGGCATCATTTAAGGGCAAAGGAATTCTTTAGATACCTTCCTAATAAAAGTAACATGGAAAGGAAAATCAGAAGATTCAAAGAGAAAGGGACTAGGTAATGGACCATATTCCCAGAGAAAGTAAATGGAACACAACTTGACACCATTTCTACAAAGACAAAGGGAAGACGAAAAAGATGGATGCAAAAGTGGTAGGTGTGATGGAAGAGCAAGTAGCGGGAGTTAGTACCTAATACACTCTAACTTCCCCATCAAAAAGAAAAGCAAGGTCACATGCTGCGGGTGACATGGATGGGGATCAAAAAGAGGGCAAAAAGGTTCACCATAACCACTGTGGGCATCTAAATGGGATATGACTCATCAAGCAGCAAATACCCCACTGCAAATGAGGAATCCTGAGGACTGCAGTTCTACAGGCCAAAAATCAGGCAGGGAAGACAGTAGGAGTTTGTGAATTACAAATGATTTCTGTTATCTTCTTTACCTTATGCCTAAACAGCATAGTGAGACCACCATCTCAAAAAAAAAAATGAAAGTAGAGAAATGTGATAGGCCCTAGGGAAAGCCTACGTGGAACAATGCAGAGAGGGTCACTGGAAAAGAAAAAGGTATAAAATATTGGGACTAGTCCGCAAGAAGGATCCGTATAGACAGCAAAGTAGCCATGAGAGATGGCAGAAAATAACATGAAAAAAGTAGACGAAGTCAAATGCAAGTAATGAGGATATGTGAATGTGCTTGAAAAGGTTTTTTAATGAACACAATTTTATAAACTCAAACATTTTTAGTAACTTCACCATATGGTTATATATGAATAAGCAACTCACCTCCATTCCACTCAGAAAGCAGTACACAAAACCTCCAGTTATTAAATGAATAAATTCTGAGGACTGAATGTACAGTATGGTGACTATAGCTAATGAAACTATTGCTTACTTGAAATTTACTAAGAATAGAATTAAGTGTCATACACACACATGGTAACTGGGTGGTAATGTGTTAATTAACTTGACGATGGCAATTATTTCACAGTGTATTCAATATAAAATCACCACACTGTATACCTTGAATACATGTGATTTTTTTCAGTCAATTTTTCCTTAGTAGAGTTGGAGGTAGAAAATCAGCATTGGAAGCATCAAACAGACTTAATCTGAATTATAAGAGAGCAACACTTTCAGTTCTTCATATATCAAGATTAAAAGTGACACCCTCAAAGCATAATAAGGACTTTAATAGTTAGGAACACCATTACTGACCTGTGTGCCCCAAGCAACCATAGTCATATCACTCCCTTCCTGAATGACCTCAGCCTGTGACAGTGGGATGTTGTATGGTTCTATAGGAACCTGCTCCACTAAATACATAATGGAAGAAAAAGTGAAAGGTTAATTATGTTTTCTCATGTGACATTTGCACCTTAAAGAATATAAGATCCTCATTGTGACAAAGCTTTAATTTCTTTCCCCAAATTCTTTAGGTTCTTTAAAATAGAAATACCACTTATCATATGAACCCATGATATTACTGCACAGATGAGCTAGTGCAATAGAAATGTAAAAAAATACAACAGCCATCCTGGAACAAAAAAGACTTTAGCTAGAAATTAAGGAAATCTTAATAACATATGGGCTTTACTCATAATATTGTGTCAATATCAGTTTAATAATCATAATAATTGTAGCATACAAATGTAAGATATTCATAATAGGGAAAAGTGGGTTGTATGAAAAGGGAAATTTCTGTACTATCTTTGTACTTTTTTCTGGAAATCTAAATATGTTCTTTTTTAAGTTTATAAAATTGTTAATGTAACTGTCAAAATTTTATTGGACTGAATTAAGTTCTCAGACCAGTTTTCTATCAATGGCAAATTTATGAGGGTTTGAAAAATGGGGGAAAACTCATAGTAGGATCAAATTTTTAAGTATATTTTTACACCTTGCATCTATTGAACACTTCATTAGCTGTAATAGCCACCAACACCTTAATTTTCAAAGCTGAATCACTGTAGACCTCAAAAAGATAAACTTTGAGTGGGTACGTATGCATTTCAACACAAAAGAGGCTAAGAGAGGAAAATCACACATTCAAGGCCAGCCTGAGCTATATAGTAAGTTTCATGCCAACCTGAGTATATAGCAAGACCTTATCACAAAATAATAACAATAAAAATAATGATTTTTCTGCACAACCAAGTACATGCAAAATAAAATTAACTGAGATGAAATTGCCCAGCATGGGAAATTTTCTTGACTTCTTCTGTGAGACCAGTACAATAGAAGTTGGGAAATACTGTTAGGCCCTTTGGTTCATTTCCTCCACAACTCTTTTATTATATTGTTCTAGACTCTTATAAAATACAAGAAAGAGTAAAATGAAACCACAGGCTCCCTCTGTTCCTCAGTCAGTCCTTCCAAGTCCACTGCCCAGAGAAAATCAATGCTAACAGTTTCATAAGTGTCTACTGAGCACAACTCCCCTTCATTCATGCTTCTGGATCCTCTTCTTACATTTGATAAATCCCCACCCACATCTTAGGAGTCTGTGAAAGTAAATTCTACATACTCGCTTTCCTAGCTTCCTTTGCAGCTAGGTCACAAAACTGACTCTGTCAATCAAATGAACCCACAGCAGACTGAATTAGAAGATGACAACAAGAAATAGCAGCAACCACCCAGAATCCATTCCAGATTCCTGCATCCACATTGGTGGTATCAATACCCAGGTACCAGTGGTTACAGCAGTGTCATGCCCACTGACAGATGCCAGGGCATCTATGCATAGCTACTTATCTGGAAGATTGCTTCTAGATATGCAGCCTCTAAGCATAATTTGCAGACACTTCAGAAAACTATGAGTTATTTATTATTCTTTGGTAACTCTTTTCTGCTTATATTGAGCCAAGTTGACTTCATTTGCTTGAAAACTCAGAACTCTGATTCAGTGTCTTTTCAAATATGCAAGTACACATACAAACAGACTAGCTTTTTATCTTTCAAAATATAATCATATTGTACACACTGTTCAGAACCTTTGTAAGACATACTTTTTTCTTAGTAATATATTTTGGTCATGTTCTCATGTCAAAATAGTTTTTTTTAAGTAAAAACTACTATAAAGGTATAGGTAAGAACTTTCTCAACGAAACCCCAGCAGCACAGCAACTAAGAGATAGCATAGATAAATGGGACCTTATAAAACTAAAAAGCTTCTGTTCATCAAAAGAAATGGTCTCTAAACTGAAGAGAACACCCACAGAGTGGGAGAAAATATTTGCCAGCTACACATCAGGCAAAGGACTGATAACCAGAATATATAGGGAACTTAAAAAACTAAATTCTCCCAAAACTAATGAATCAATAAAGAAATGGGCAAGTGAACTCAACAGAACTTTCTCAAAAGAAGAAATTGTAATGGCCAAAAAACACATGAAAAAATGCTCACCATCTCTAGCAATAAAGGAAATGCAAATTAAAACCACACTAAGATTCCACATCACCCCTGTTAGAATAGCCATCATTAGCAACAACCACGAACAACAGGTGTTGGCAAGGTGTGGGGCAAAAGGAACCCTCTTACACTGTTGGTGGGAAGGTAAACTAGTACAACCACACTGAAAAAAAATTTGGAGGCTACTTAAAAAGCTAAACACTGATCTACCGTTTGATCCAGCAATACCACTCTTGGGGATATACACAAAAGATTGTGACACAGGTTACTCCAGAGGCACCTGCACACTCATGTTTATTGTGGCACTATTCACAATAGCCAAGTTATGGAAACAGCCAAGATGCCTCTCCACTGACGAATGGATTAAGAAAATGTGGTATGTCTACACAGTGGAATTTTATGCAGCCATGAAAAAGAACAAAATGTTATCATTCGCTGGTAAATGAATGGAATTGGAGAACATCATTCTGAGTGAGGTTAGCCTGGCCCAAAAGACTAAAAATCGCATGTTCTCCCTCAAATGTGGACATTAGATCAAGGGCAAACACAACAAGGGGATTGGACTATAAGCACATGATAAAAGCGAGAGCACACAAGTGAGGGGTGAGGATAGGTAAGACACCTAAAAAATTAGCTAGGATTTGTTGCCCTTAATGCAGAGAAACTAAAGCAGATACCTTAAAAGCAACTGAGGCCAATAGAAGGGGAACCAGGAACTAGAGAAAAGGTTAGATCAAAAAGAATTAACCTAGAAGGTAACACACATGCACAGGAAATTAATGTGAGTCAACTCCCTGTATAGCTCTCCTTATCTCAACCAGCAAAAACACTTGTTCCTTCCTATTATTGCTTATACTCTCTCTTCAACAAAATTAGAGATAAGGGCAAAATAATTTCTGCGGGGTATTGAGGGGTGGGGGGGAGAGGGAGGGGGAGGAGTGGGTGGTAAGGGAGGGCATGGGGGCAGGGGGAAGAAATGACCCAAACCTTGTATCACATATGAATAATAAAACAATAAAAAACTACTATAAGCAAAAAGTATTAAATTTAATGGTGCCATTACCAGTGATGTACCACTGAGGAATTTTATAACTCTTATTGTGTGTGTATTTCTAATCCAATGGAATATCAAAAACCAATGCCAGAGATAGCTGAGTAAGTGATTAATGTCTAAATAAAAAAAGAAAAGAAAGAAAAAAATGGTAGCTTGGCACTAGTGGCTCACACCTGTAATTCTAGCTATTCAGGAGGCAGAGATCAGGAGGATCACGGTTGAAAGCCAGCCCAGTCAAATAGTTTTCAAAACCCTATCTCAAAAATACCCAAGACAAAAAAAACGCTGGAGGAGTGGCTCAAGTGGTAGAGCACCTGCCTACCATGTCTGAAACCTTGAGTTCAAACTCCAGTACCGCCAGAAAAAAAGAAAATGGTAAAATCTATAAAACTAATTTTTTCTCAAAGCAAATGATAATTAAGCTAGTAAACCTAAGACATACAGTTAACTACCTGAGACATGGTAGAAAACTTCACAAGCATTAAAGCAGTTTTTAACATTTTTGTCTAGCACATCAACTATGGTAAGTCAGAAGCTTTCACTATCTAAACCAGGGATGGGCAATCTACAATTTATAGTCAATTTGTTTGCAGACAACATTGTACAAAATGAGTGGCCATGGCATTCGTTTTTACATTTAGCCTACAGCACCAGAGCTAAGTAATTTCAACAGAGACAGAATGAACTGCAAACCTAAAATATTTACTATCTGTTTCTTCACACAAGATGGCTTCCAGCCACAATTGTAAACAATGCTTTCAGAAATTAATTCCAGTCCACTCACTGGTAGTCTAAAACCAGTATTGGATGGACGGATTAATGGATGGATGGATGGACAGATGGACCGACGGATGGACAGACAGGAGGGCATATTCAATTAGGATAGTATATTGTACTTAGTTAACCAACATGAGGGTCAAAAGCTGCTGATGACCTACGACCAAAGGCAGCACACTGGCTATTTACCATTATCATGTGCTTGAAAACAAGGTCTACAGGTCACTAGACAAGTCTTAAAGCAAGTTCACATTCTGCCCTGCTTGTGAGTCACTGGCCACCACTGGAGTACTACCTTTCCTGCCTTGTAAATCAATTGCCAATTTGTGATTAGCAAATCCTTGGAACACAGGACTGTAAGTTCTGGCATGCCAAAAGAAATGGGCTGGCATTATGGCCCATCTCAGTTGAAAAGTGGCCAGTGAGTGACTGATGTCTTAAATAAATTACCCAGAAAAATAAGGTCTCATTATTTTAACAATTAAGTGGAGAACAACATAACAAACAAAGCTTTATTCTCTACTTTTAAAATATCATGCAGAGAAATTGATTCAAGGAGACTTATATTAAGAGCAACCAGCCTGGCTAGCTCAGTCGGTAGAAAATGAGATCTTAATCTCAGAGTCGTGGGTTTGAACCCCATAATGAGAGCATTGATTTAACTGGGTGCTGGTGGCTCACGCCTGTAATCCTCTACTTAGGAGGCAGCAATCAGGAGGATCACAGTTTGAAACCAACCCGGGCAAACACTTCATAAGACCCTATCTCAAAAAAAAAGTCCAGCACAAAAAAGAGCTGTTAGAGTGGCTCAAGTTGTAAGTCCTGAGTTGAAACCCCAGTACCGCAAAAGAAAAAAAAAAAAAAGAACAGCCTAAACCTTCTTCTTAGATTTTCATAAATTTAATCCCGAGAGCAGGAAAATAAGAATTCAATTTTAATATGTTCGTTGATTTAAACTTGGCAAACAACTCACCTGGAAAGCAAGTTAACAGTCACAGGTACTTTGTAGTTACATTAATTTAAGTGATACTTATTCCAGGAGTTTATTGCTTCAAATTAGTATTCTTGCCTTC